ACTATAGTAATTGCAACATTTTCTCCCGTCATTGAAGCTGGTAATTATGGTGCAACTAACAGCATTATGTGCTAACTTGGGCTGTTTTAATCACCTCTTTCACTCTGAAATGCAATGGGAAAATTCCACAGTTGTTCCCAGGCTACCCATTTCTCTGAGCATCTGCTATCTTATAATCCTAACAGCTGGGTGCTGAGGTGGGAGGCAGGGATGCTCAGGGCAGCTCATCACAGTGATCTCAATGCTTGATAAGAAAGCATCAGCATGAAGGCAGTTGTCAGTTTTCTACCATGATAAAATATTATCTTTGAGATTATCTGCTTTGTTTTAGAAACAGCAGATGTTTTGGCATCTGGCACTGTTTGCCACCCGTACCTTTCAGGAAAGAAACCTCAGTCCACAAAAATCAATTTAATTCTGATTAAGAAAAACAGGCGTTGGGAGGCAGAGGCAGGTGGATCTCTGTGAGTTCGAGGCCAGCCTGGTCTATAGAGCGAGTTCCAGGACAGCCTCCAAAGCAATATAGAGAAACCCTGGCTCAAAAACCTCCCCCAGAAAAAGAAAAGGAAAAAAGAAAAGAAAAGAAAAACCTCCTTCAGCCCTGGAGGCAGTTAGGTTAATTAATGCCGGAATGGAATACTGTGGACCAGTGTATTACTTTTCCCATGGCTGTGACAAATTACCTGCTGAAGCAATGTAAGGACGGTCTCGTGGTTTGAAGATACAGATGGGAGGGCACGGCAGGGACCTAAGGCAGCTGGTCACATCACATTGGCAGTCAGGAAGCAGAGATCGATCAAGGCTGGTACTCAGCCCTTGTTCTCCTTTCCATTCAGTCTAGGACCCCAGTTTATGGGAGGGTACCACTCAGTCCGGCTCTTCCAACTGCAGTTAAACCTGCCTGCAAACACCCTCGTAAACACACCTTGGGTCTAAATTATAGCCGCCACAGCCATGATGGCGTCTTTCATGTATAATGTTCCATGCCTGAAAACAGTCATTACCTGTGTTTATCTTCTCTGAACACAGTGTGGTGAACACTGGCAGATATTCAAGGTCCTTTGCATATACTGACATAAATAGACTTTGGGCACTATTATACGAACCCAGAGAGTCTGGTTGGGATAGAAATTCCCTTGATCACCTTGATGTAAAATGATTTACCCTGCATTAGATGCAGCTAGGCATAAGTAGGCCATTCTCTACAGTGTAATTGTTTGAGTAAAAGGTAATCCTATAAGGAATTCAGAACTAGCAGAGCATAGTCAGAAAAAATGAAACAAGATCGTTTGTTGGGAGTGTAGAATGACTAAAGGGGCCGTGTTTGAATCACCCTTTCCTCCTGGGATTGTTAGATCGCCATCCCTGACCGCAGACTTCTGTTCAAGTCCATGTTCTGCAATTGTAACAGAATTCCATGGTTGGAAAATAGAAGATGGGGGAGAAGGCAGGAGAAAGAAAGGAAAGATTGGAAGGGAAGCAGGAGGGAGGATCAAGGAAGGGAGGAAGAAGGGAAGGGGGTGTTTTTCACAGCTCTGAGCTAGAAGTCTAAGGTCCCCAAGCTGTGTCGTAACATTGTGGGAAGATAAGCTATTAAAGGCAAGGCAGGAGAAAACTCAGGCTAAACTCTTCTTGTTAGGAGCTCTGTCCTGCAGTAACACGGTAGCCTGTTGGGGGTGGGGTGTGTCACATGACCCATTGGTGAGTGCCCTTAACTTTCAAAGTGAGTTTTGAAGGGACTTTCAAACTGCAGCAACCATGTGTCAGTCATTCTGAGTGCATCTAGAAAGCTGGCACAGTGTGGAACCAGCCTAGGTCCACACGCTTGTGCTCTTACAGCAAGTGCCTCTTACCTGGTACTGGGTCTACCTCTTTGCAGATTCTGTTGGGCCACTCGGGTGTGCAGTTGGGATTCCATCCAGGAGGGTAGTTATGACTGAGTAGATGTAGCGACAGTCTGAAAAGAACAGCTAAAAACGAGATGACCTTAGCCAGGCCGTAGTGGTGTCTGCCTTTCATCCCAGCACCAGGAAGGTAAAGGCATCTCTATGAGTTCGAGGCCAGCCTGGTCTACAAAGAGAGTTCCAGGATAGCCAGGGCTTTTAGACAGAGAAACCCTATCTCCAAAAATACAAGAGAGAGAGAGAGAGAGAGAGAGAGAGAGAGAGAGAGAGAGAGAGAGAGAGAGAGAGAGAGAACAACTTTTTCTCTTAAAAGGAGCATGGTGGCATCAAGTATAGCCTCACCTTTCTGATGTGACAGGAAAAAATTAATAGAAAGAACCTGCTCAGAACTGGGGGCAGGAACAGTCACCCAAGCACAATTTCCATGGGGCTACAGACACTGGGGTGTGAGAGGTGCTTGGACCCTGCAGCTCTTCCGCTGGGCACTCATACTCCCAAGTGCCCTGATCCTAACCCCCATGCCTTGCCAGTGATAAATTTGAACTTGGGGTTGTTCTCAGTTATGTGAGTATAACCCTCCCTCCCCACCCCCATCTCCCTGTTACTCCTCACACCCCCACTGCTCGTGTATAAAGGTAAAGTGGTCAAGGGACAGGAAAGCTGCCCTGGTTACCCACAAGCCAGCTGTGATGAGGAAGATTGCCATACACAGGATAGGGATGCCGCATGTTATTTTATTAGGGAGAAATCACTTTTGTGAAAAGCTGAGAACTGAGGTCAGCGCTCTGCTGGTCTCCGACCTTGACCAGAACCCAAGAGAGAGAGTGACCCCTTCTTCCTTGACCTTTATCTCTGCCTTCCCCCAGATACCTATGACCACGCCCAAACGGGCATGGTCAATGCTTTGGGTACGTGAGATGTCTCCCTACACAGCTGTCAACTGCAAAGGCCTATGGCCTGTCCTCCTCCTCCACATCTGTGACTCTTCAACACATACTGCTGTCTGCAGTGACTTTGTTATTTCTGAATCTTCTTGCTTGGCTCTAGTGTCTTAGTTTTCCCCTTGTCATCTTCTCAGTTAGCTCAGGAAGTTAAAAAGATGCTCAGTAAACACTTCATGGATGGGATAAAAGGTAAGTCCATATAAAGAATTATCAGAGCATGGTCAAGAGAAGGGAAATGGTCATTTTGGGGGCTGGTGGAGTACTGAAGGGGCCAGTTTGAACTCTTGCCTCCTGGGACTGTTGGATCTGCATATCCGACCTCAAGTTTTTTGTCCTAGCTCTACTCCTAAGCTGACAAGTGATTTCCAGCAAGGAACTCACCTTCTCTGACCCCTAGATTAGTGACATCCCAGAGTGTTTTTGTGTCCCTAAGCTTGCTTTACCTGTGTGGTCTGTGGTTCTACCTTTAATAGCAAGGTCAGCTTTTTAAATCCTAACTAACTGCACATCCAGATGGGAATTTCCCAGAGGAAGACCAAATTTGCATGTTTAGCCATGACAAGGGATGGGAGTGCGGGCACAGAGATGACCCTGATGGGGACACACAGATCAGGAGTCACACAGTGAGGGCAATGGGACATAGCTGTGGCACAGAAAGAGAGGACCTGCATGCACATGCCTGCTCTCACCTTCCAAGTAAATGCCAAGTGCTTCCTGTCGTCAAGCTCTCCTCCACCAAGATGAAAAGATGTCTCTGTCTGTCTACAGCCGCCAATGGGGGAGACAACACATTTACCCAGGTGCCCCTCTGGCAACCCCTGGGATCCCTACCTGTCTTTCACTTCAGGGAGACTCCTGTAGGAGTCCATTTAGGCCTGCTTCACCTGGTCCTCATGCCCTCTTCAGCCTTCCAGTTTTCATTTTCCCAGTAACTATTTTTCTTGATGCTGTGACAAAATACCTAATAACCTTCCCAAGGAAAAGAGTTCATTTCCAGGAAGAAAAGGTGATACAAATGGATCCTTTCTCATTCCACACTCCCAACAAGTGTAGCATTTGTCAGGACTGGGCTTGGCTCATTCACTCAACGTGTAGTTATTTTATTTGAGGAAAAAAAAACAAAAAACAAAACAAACAAACAAGGCATCAGCATATGTCTCCTGGCATTATCTGGGGGAATCAGGCTACCACCTACACTTCCAGGTCTGAGTTGGAAATCAGAAAAAAGAATCTAAAGGTTGAAGGTGACTTGCTGGGACAGGGGCCTGAGGATATTCTCCCCTGGCTTCTTGTGATGGCTAATCTCACTTTGTCAGTGTGACTACATCTGGACTCAACTAAGACCTGAGCCATCAGGGATTTTCCTGAGTAGATCATTTCAGGTGGGAAGACCCGTCCTAAGTCTGGATCATTCGAGGTCAGAATGGCCACCTAGTGAGATGACTCAGCAGGTGAAGACATATCCCACGAAAGCCTGACGACCTGACTTTGATTCCTGGAGCCCATGTGAAGGTGGAAAGATGGAACTGACTCCATAAAATGTTTGTTCTCAAACTTCTCCATGTGTGCCACGGCATGCATCTGCTCCCTCCCCAATGTGTGCACACAGTAGTATATAATAAGCATTTTATACTAATATAATGATATTATACAGGTATAATAATAAATACATTTTTGCTGAATGGCAGCTTGCTGAAGGGGACAGAGTGTCACTCCTGGTTTGGCCATGAGAGTAGACTGTAGAAAAACCAATACTAATAAATACAATCAGCCTGGTTTGGCTAGGAATAGCTTCTGTGTTAGTCTTACAGAAATGCAGTGGCACTATGAGCTTACTCTGCTCTGTTCTCTCTGCTCGCTTGTTGGAGGTGCTGACATCCAATCCATGCTAGGCAAGAGCACTGCCACTGAGCTACACCCCACCGCGTGTGCTCAGCCCTCTGGATCCTGACCTTGTACTCTAGAGCGGCAGGACCTTGCAGCTCTTCCAAACCCATCACCTTGGTTCTACCCAGACCTGCTGGCCTCTGGCCTTGTTTGATCTTGCATACCATACAGCCTGACTTTGGCCGAGGCCACTCTTCCTGTGAACCACGGCCTGAGTCTGCTCTGTGAATGCCTTTAACCAAGCACCTGTGCTGTGTCCCCGCAGGTCTCCCAGGCAGCCTCAGACCTCCTGGCCTACTGTGAAGCCCATGTGCGGGAGGACCCCCTCATCATCCCGGTGCCTGCCTCGGAAAACCCCTTCCGGGAGAAGAAGTTCTTCTGCACCATTCTCTAACACCCGTGGTGACCAAACGGGCCCTTTCCTGCTGTAAAAGTCCCGAGTAGAGACCGCGCACGCTCCCATGTAGAGGCATGCCTCCCAAACACACCCCATCCCTATCCAGCCACTCGTGATCTGGGCTCACCTTGGTTTACTATATTTTCTTCACGACACTATTTCTTCTTCTTCTTCTTCTTCTTCTTCTTCTTCTTCTTCTTCTTCTTCTTCTTCTTCTTCTTCTTCTTCTTCTTCTTCTTCTTCTTCTTCTTCTTCTTCTCCTTCTCCTCCTCCTCCTCCTCCTCCTCCTCCTCCTCCTTCTCCTTCTTCTCCTCCTCCTTTTCCTCCTTCTCCTCCTCCCCTCCTCCTCCTCCTCCATCTCCTTCTTCTTCTCCTCCTCCTTTTCCTCCTCCTCCTCCTCCCCGTCCTCCTCTTCCTCCTTCTCCTTCTTCTTCTTTGGCTTAATTTTTGTTATTTCCATCCATAGAGAAGAAAACAGATGTTTTTTATAATCAAATGACAAATGTGCCATATAAAAGTGTGGATTTAAGTGTCTGCAATTTTTAAAGATTAATTCCCAAGTGTAAGTATATCCAGTTGATAAATTTCAGCGGGTAATTCATTGAAGTCAAAACCATGCACAGTAATCTGGTATCAGATGAGAGCATGTCAACCACATGAGAGAGTGAGGTCCCTTTCTCCTCTGGCATCTCTATTATCGGATAGGAGTCTTCAGGGGCCATGTGCCAGGCCCTGTGGATGGCTAATGTACCCACCTGCTTCTCACTGAACATTCCAGAGTTGATGCTTCTGAAAATGCATTTGTGGTATAGACACTAAGGCAGCCTTGATGGTAGATACTCACCAGGAAAACCCCACGGGGCCACCTCCTCAGTCAAAATGCCATTCTTCCTGCTTCCTTCCTCCTGCTTGGTGTTTCTAGTAGGGTGACGAGTACAGTACTGGGCCCTTGGAAGTCTCTGCAGAGTCATTCCTGCTCTGAAATAACAGAGTGAGTCACATGCCACTCACTGATCTGAGGAGTTAATGCTGTTAACATCTCTAACAATAAACACCACAATGGAAGTCTGTTTTAAAGAGGGGATAGCCAAGGAACAGAGAAATGGCGTTTGCTCAAGACTACAGACAGTGTGGGCAAACCATGACTTCCATGTGTGGGTAGCCCATCCCTAAAGCTCTTCCTGAACCCCTGAAATGCAGCCGCCTATTGCAGGTGTACAGCACCACAAACAATCCTAACTGCACACTAGGAAGGAAACAAACACATTTGTCACACCAACTACACGCTTCTCTCCCACCTTTGCTGGGAGAAGTCTCAAAAGCCTAGATTCTGGCAGTTTGTGGTAGACGATATGTGGGTGCCTCAAGATCAGGCAGCAGTAGGTCTGGGGTTTTCCAAGACAACGCCCTAGGCCCCATCTAGAGTACCCCCATGCACTCCTGATAAAGCCAGAGGTGCTGAAGGCTCCGTGAGGACATTGTTTTGTAGATATCTGGAAACTGCCACTCCTCTGACTCTCAGAGAAGATTGCTGTGCTGCTGGACAAGCTGTTGTGTGCCAAGCTGTTCAAACCAGCAAACAGCAGACAATGTTAATTACCCCTCTTGCTCTTCTGCAAGAGAAGAAATCAAGTAAGGCTCTGATTATCCTTGAAAACCACTATGTGCTAGATGACAACCCATAATGTTGAGAAGAATGTGTGACTTCATAGATACCATGGTTCTGATGATGATGGATGTAAAATGGCTTCTGAGGAGGCCATTATCATTTTTATTAAATTGTCGTGGGTTTGTGCCTTGCTACCCTCTCTGGCAGCTTTTGTGGGAACCGTTCTTAGTTTTACTACTGTACATGAGGCTTTGTTGGGCTGTAGATCTCTTTATTCTGTGGTCCATGTTGGTATCATTAACCTGGCAGAGTACATCATGGTCCACAAAAGCCAAGGAAGTGGGTCAGCATTTAGGGTGGCAAAACAGGTCGGGAGAACAGTGTGCTTTAATCTTCTACCAAACTGTCTCTGCCTGCCCCCCATTTCCAACCAGCTTTCCTACATTCTCCTATAGATGGTGTGTCCACTAGTAACTGTCCTGGGAATTTAATCCCATGCCGCACTCGAACCCATTGAGCTTTCTTACCCCCAACATCTTCCTGCTTATCCCTAGATTTCTGTTAATTCCAGAGTCTCTGACATCCATCCAGTAAACCCATGAAATATCCTCATTTGGATATAAATATTGTGTGAGCTGACACCTCCACTCCTGAGTGTACATTTGACAGAAATATGCATATATCATCAGAAGAAATGTGCTAGAGCGTTCCTAGTAGCCCTTAAGCAGAAGGCCCCTTGTGCCCATATTGGAGAGATAAGCAGATGAGGGTCATTCACATGGTAGACTCCTGCACAGGACTGTCTCAGCTCCACCCATAGCTGAGAGAACCTTGCTGGCCTAGTGGCGGGACTGAGAGCACGCAAGTCCAAGCCTACAGTTCCATTTTCATACAGCACATGACTCAAGGAGGAATAGCAGCTGCTCTCAAATGGGCAACAGAGGGGATGTGAGAGGTTCCTGGAATGTTCCGTCTCTGTATTTAGCTACCTGTCCCCCTGATATGTGTAGTTTGTGAAAGCTCTCCCAGCTGTCTACTTTTGGGTGCTTTTCTGTATGTGTGTTATACTTCAATAAAAAGTTGGGTTTTGTGACTACCAACTCGATCCCTCTGCTGGCTTTGTCTTCTTTGGCACTTTATTCAATGTTTGACTCCTCTTTACATGTCCTTAATACATGACATTAATAGCTCCCGTCATTAGTAGGACACTTAAGCGTGTGTTTGACAACATTTTGAATACAAACTCCTTGTAATCACCAGCTGTCTGGCTAGAGAACAGGCTGCTGGCACTGCACAGGTGCCTTCCCACACAAACACTATACTCTGCGATTTGTAGGCAAACAGCAAGGCACAGTGTGTGTCTCCCACCGAATGGCTGAGGTGACATCCTCAGCCTCTCTTGCCTTCTCACCCTCAGGAGTGAAGGGACAGGATGGTCTTTCAGGAAACCCTATGGTTACAGTGACCGCTGGAGCAAGAGAACAAGGTGCTGTATGGCCCTGTGGTGACGAAGTGACACACAGGCAGGGAAAGTAGGTGCTGTATGCTTCTCCCTCACTCTGCTTCCACCGAGGGCCTCCAATATCTGAGCTCCACAGGGCTGTTTCCTCTCACAGCTCTGCCTCTGGAGTCCCAGGGCAATCAGAGAGCAACTTCCAGCGGTGCCCACCACCCCTCACAGCAGTCCAAAGGTTTGTTCTTTTATACTGATCTCCAGGAGTTGTCAGCACCCCCAACCCCCACTGAGGAGCCACAGGAGAGACAACACCAAGAGGCAGAAGGGGTTCTGTGTGGGGACTGCTGGAGCTTGAGCTGGAATCATGAGAGCTGCAGCTGGACAAGAACAGGGCTGTAGCCATGGCTTGGGTAGTTTACTGACACGGGCATGTCCTCAGCCTCACATCATGTCTACCCCTTCTCCCCACTCCAAGTCCTCCCACTTTCTTTCAAATCCCTTACCTTTTCTTTGTTATTGTTACATGCATGCATGGATGGATGGATGGATGAATGGATGGATGCAAATTGGGTCTGCAGAGTCCATTTACTGTTGTCCTATATCTATATGTTTAGAGCTGACCACCTGGGAGTAGAGAACTTGTCAGGCTCATCCCTGGAGAAGACTGGTTCTTCCTCCCTGTGAAGCCATTACTGAAGCTCTCCATCTAGGCATGGGCCAAGTGAGAGTTCTCCCATCCTTACTGGCATGTTAACTGCTATTGTCATTGTGCTGGCCTTACTTATGCATCTAAATTGTTGAGATTTCATAGATACTACTTCACAGCAGATCCCTGTTCCTGTTTCTTAAAATATTTCTTTCCCCATTTCCATGATGTTCTCTGAATTGTAAGTAAAGGGGTCACATTGTAGATGTATCAGCTGGGGCTGGGGACCCCATGGTCAGTTTTTCTCTTCATTTTGAACAGGTGTAGCTTTCTATAATGGTTCCTGACCGCTGCAAATAAAGCTTCTTTGATGAAAGGTGGAAGCTACACTTTTCTATAGGTATAAGGGTAGGCACTCAGAATGCAGTCAGTAAATATACTGGTTTGGAAAAGTGGCAGTCATAGGCTCTCCCCTGGGGTCTATGACCTCTCTAGCTATGAATAGTTGACTAGGTTTACAGTACTAGGCATGAATTCCTTCCTATTGAGCAGGCATTAAGTAGCCAGATGGTTATTGGCTATCTGTAAAATATCCCCATTTCTCACTACTATAACTGACTGGATTTTAATGCATATGGGTCCAACACTACCACCACACTGCCTATTGTTACTCTAGGGAGTTTAAGATCTGAAAGATAGGGCCTGTCCAGTTAAGTGCTTGCCACACAAGCCCAGGACTTGAGTTAGATCCCAAAACCCACATAAGAAAGCTGGATACTATGGTGTGTGCTTATAAACCCAACACTGGGAAGGTAAAGACAGGTAGATGCCTAGCAGGTTGCTGTCCTGCCAGCCTAGCCTAACTGGCAAGCTCCAGAATAATGAGAGATTCAGTCTCAAAAAAAAAGATGGACAGCTCCTGAGGACTAACACCCAAGGTTATTCTCTGGCCTCCACACACATGCACACTTATTCCCACATAAATGCATCTACACATGTATGCATACACCTTCATTTTATCAGCTGAAGGAAAGCACAAAAAACCACTCTATTGGCTTCATAGCCTTGCCCTGCTTTCTTGCCACTTACAAGCAATAAATCACTTGCTTGCTAAAACTTCTCTTCACACTGTGTAGCTGAATGCTGGCCTAATGGTGGTAATTAAGGCTGGGGAAGGGCTGCCTCTGGGTGAGAAATGGAGGACTAGCTGGAACAGGAAAGCAGCATCCCCCAGTGAGCCACAAAAGCAGCATCATGTATCACTCAGGGCAGCATGCGTTTGGAGTGGGGGACATGGAAGTGTTTCTGTGAAGAACCAGGCCTGTCATTACCGCAGCTGGGGCCTGGTGAGTGCTCAATCCCTAGCTTTTCTTTCCAAATCTTTTAGTAAAATCCCCACCACTTACTTGAAGCTTTTTACATTTGTATTAGATTTCTTTTTTTTGTTTTGTTTTTTTGCTTTTAAGTTAAATTAGACTCAGTTCAGTTCTGTTTTAAATATAAACCAATTCCTTTGTCCTGGATGCTTTTAAAGCCACTGTC